GGAGGCGGTTGCTCAGTAGGTTGCAGACCATCACTAGTAGGTTGGAGTCGGTTGCTCAGTAAGGCCATCGCTCTTAGGTTGAAGGCCATTGCTATTATATAGGTTGGAGGCCTTCGCTTAGTAGGTTGGAGGCCATCGCTGGTATGTTGGAGGCCATTGCCCTTTAGTTGGAGGCCGTTGCTATTAGGTTGGAGGCCATCGTTAGTAGGTTGGAGGCATTGAAAATTAGGTTGGCCATTGCTGGTCGGTTGCGGGCCATCGCTAGTAGGTTGGAGGCCATCGCTAGTAGGTTGGCTGGAGGCCATTGCTACTAAGTTGGAGGCCATTGCTTAGTAGGTTGGAGGCCATCGCTATCTGGTTGGAGGCAATGGCTCTTGGGTTGGGTTGGCTCCTAAAGAAAGACCTCTTAGACCTCGCCAGGGGATGTCTTCGTGCACTTCTCACAGCTCACGAATGGCGGGTCGGACGACATGATCGTGGGGGCCGAGATGAGTTTCGACATCACCGAGGACGGGGGACGACGGCGTGGGAGGACGGGGACGGATGGACTGCAGGACTTGTCACACCTCACAGCGTCACCGAGGTTCGTCTCTAGGAGGTTGTGGGCGTGGAAAAGCCCCGGCTTGAGCCGGTGAAACAAACGCTATAGGCTATAAGTACTTGAGAGTGAACTAGTAGCCTCGCAACGGGGTTTATTACTTGTTCTATTCTTTTTGGAAGTATATGTTGATATGATATGTGTTTCAGTAATGTATTTTTGTTTATGATATATTGTATTCTTATTTTTTCCCGAATGCTTAGGGAAGGGTTTTTGCGTAACTTTGGGGGTCTGGGGGTAGAGCCTTGTTCGCGACGTGTTGTGGTAGCGTTTGTAACCGTCCGCAACCGTTCGCGGCTGGGTCGCTATGGCGCTGACAGTGTGCGAAAGGATTTTCTCGTGACAAGCATGACAGCCACCACGCCGTGCCCTACCCCACACCCTCGAAGACGCGCCACATGGAATCACAAAAAACCATAAAACATCACACATGGAAACACATTGAACACATATTTGTCCATGTTTTCAATATGTGTCCATTAACCTTTTTTTTGTTTATTTTTCTATTATTTCCGTGCAGCGCCTCTTCGAGGAGGTAGGGCACGGCGGTGGCTGGAAGGTAGCGGCTGGGTTTGTAGGTCGCGCAGTGGCCTCTAAGTCTGGAAACAACGCCCGTTAGCGTTCTTCAACAGATACCTCCAACCTAGTAGCTTCTTGCTACTAGTAGCTTCTTGTTACTACAGGTGAAACGATTCCCAGTGAAACGATTCACCAGGGAGCTTCTAGCTACTAGGGATGGGTGTTTGGATTTTAGGCAACATGTAGAATGCTGGAAGAGGGCGTGCATAGTTTCCGTTTTCCACAGCGTGAATTTAATGTATATCCTTTGCTGGAAGCCAGCACTTTGCAAACCAATCTTCAACTGAAGAACAGTAATGCAAGAAGAGAAACCCTGAAGAAGTCAGTAAAAACACACACACAGACACACACACACACACATCAAGGAAACATAGCCAAGAACGTTTACTTTAAAACCACAAATGACAACATGAATAAGACACTTAAACCCATGAGACAAACATAGAACAAACAACCAAAACATAAATCACCTTAAAACCCAATACAACATATTACACTACTTAAGCAGACCTGGTGGCTTACATTTTAAGTCTCAACGGTATACGATCCGATTGCTCGAGACAAAGGTTGTCCTTTCGGATCTCTGATCCGCTGTGTCTATGCGGAAGAGCGTCTGTGGGGTTCCCAGGATCCCCGCAGTGGGAAGACGAAGGCGACCAATGTGACCCTCACCAATGGTGGGTCTGGTGAACGACTCGCAGGCAGGGTGGATCCGGTGCACATCAGCCTATATCAAGTTGCTGAGTTGTAACAAGAAGCTACTAAGCTACTAGGAACAAGTGCCACGCTAGTAGTAACAGGTGCCTTACTAGTAGTAACAAGAAGCTACTAGGAACAAGTGGGCACTTGTTGTGCTCCACGATTTCGTCGTCAAAGGACCGGTTGCCTTTGACTGCCTCCGGAGTTTTTTTTTTTTTTCAGAAAGCTTTGTTACTAAGAAGCTTCTTGTTACTAGAAGAGATGGCCTCCAACCTAATAGCGATGGCCTCCACCTAGTAGCTGCTTTTTACTAGAAAGCTTTGTTACTCAGGAATGAGCTATGGCGGTGGCAAGGGCAAAGGCAAGGGCAAGCGCGACCGAGCTTTGAAGCTGTTGGACGGTTCGTCGGTTCGTCGGTTCGTCGGTTCCGCTTCGTCGGTTCGTCGCGGTCGCGCACGTGTTCTCCGGTGCTTTCCGAACGCTTTGCTCGTCGGTTCGTGACCCCGAAGCATCGCATCGAAGAGAACCTGAAGAAAACGACCCTTCGGCTGTCCAAGGATACGACCCCTACTGAAGGGCGACTGCTGAACCAGCAAGCAGATGCTGCGGTTCATGCCCTTGCAGGGGCGTGAAGCTCCTTTGTTCCAGGAGATGGAGATATGCCGGATCATTATGTTATTGTGACATGCATGACACCTGCCCATTGCAACCATGCTCATATTTCATAGAACTGTTGTGCTCTCAGCCTCGAGGCCCGGCTTTTTGTTCTCTCCTTAATGATCTATTTGTGAAATCTCCTCTGTACAGCAAAGTTTTGTCTTGCACCAGCACGACGTGGCTATTACCGTCGGTCAAAATCAAGCGTTTTGTAATGCTGGAAGCTGTGAAGGTGCAAGGCTCGGTTTTTCTCTCAGAGCAGTATTCACCCAGTTGCATGCATCTTAAGAGAGTTGCATGCTATCAACTATGCGGAAGCACGGTCTGTTGAAGAGGGAAGAAGGGACAGGCTGTCCAAAAGCTGCAGAGTTTAAGCGGGACTTGTCATGAAAGTTGTTTTTGGTTGAGCGCCAGTGCCGAACGAGTGTATTCCGGACGAAAGAGGGATTTTGAAGGACGACGCAGCTTTGCATGCTGAGATTTGAAACACCACCAAGATAAAGCCTCAGTAACAAGGACGCTATTAGGGGCTCCTGGCATCGCTACTAGGAGCAATTTCGATCACATTTGAAGAACCATACTCTCTTCGCTTCGCTTCGTGACGACCGCGCGACATCGCCCGAAAACACGCGAACGCGAGACATTGGGCGCATCCACCGCCGCATGAACGTCCGATCGCTCCGTTCGTAGCGCCTAGGTTTGGGTCCCGGCTTTCCAGTGCCCGTGGAGATCGTGCCCTTCTGCTCGGGCCCTCGGGAACGGGAGACCGACCACCAGGGGCGGTTTCTCTCCGCGTGCGACAGGAGAGATGAGATGGGTCTGTTTCGGACAGTTGACCACAGTTGGCATGGACATGGGAGTTGTTCACCATCTCCACTTTGTTGATGCCATGCCGCAGAAATGGTTTCGGACAGGAAGAAAATGATCACTTGGATGTTGCCCGACTGAGACAGAGACATGGATTGATCGACTGGGTCAGGTCACCTACAATCATGGACTGTATTGATCCATACCATCATCAAATCTTGGATGTTCATTGGATGTTCAACACATGTTCTTAAGTGTTTTGTCTAACCAACCGCCCGAACTGGAGTTTCACTCAAGGCCACGAGCACACCATGCGGCAGATCGCGGCGCTGCCCGCGCTCGCCGGATGTGAGCCGGTGCTAAGGCAGTGCGACCAGTTCTTCGCTCGGACCAAGAGAGGTTGAACTCCCCCATATACCCCATCCCATATGAACGACGAACACAGCGTCCTTTATGGTCTCTCAACCTCTCTTGGGAGCTTCTTGTGTTTTGCTACTAGTAGTAAGGCCAAGAGCCGCTAGTAGCGTCCTTGCTCCTAGTAGAGATGCCCTTTGCTCCTAGTAGCTTCTTGTGTTCTGCTGTTGCGAAGTTTTGTGTGGTGTCCACGGGTGGTCTTGAGAGCGACAGCGAATCGTCATGCTGTGGGGGGCACCGTGAGTGCTCTGTGCGGCGAGGTGTCCGATGCGTGCTGCCTGAGCGATGGCCTCCAACCTACTAGCATAAGGAACCTAATAGCCATGGTCTCCAACCTAAGAGCGATGGCCTCCAACCTACTAGCGATGGCCTCCAAGGTAAGGGCGATGGCCTCCAACCTAAGAGGGATGGTCTCCAACCTAAGAGCCAACAGGTTGGGGAACGTCGCCAACAACCAGAAGGATGGAGATGAACCAGCCATCACGGACAATGGGAACTATATCGTGGACCTGAAGTGCTCGCCTCAAAGATGGGTGTTTGAAACGGCCTTCCATCTCCTTTTGGCGCGCGCTGGCTGGCTCGGGGGGTTAAGATAGATTGCTGTTTTCAAACGAGGTGAGACCTAAAGAGAATCCAGCTTTGCTTGAACATCAGGGACCACCTAAAGAAACGCACTTGGAAGGTAGAATCAAGCGACCAGCTGAGTATGGCCGGCCTCTTGAGCTTGAACCGAACCGGAATATACAGCTGTTGCTTCGATACTTGACACATGTTGAGACCTTACACAGGGCTCCATTTGTAAGGGGTTCTACTGTTTCGTCTTCGAATGTTTCCAGACCATTGACAACTGACACCTGCCATGCCATGATGCTCAGATCCTCAAATGTAAAGGACCTCCAGATGCATTTTTGCTGTTCTGCTTCAAGTCTACACGTTCGTTTTTACCCTAGGGTTCCACCTCAGAAGGTAGTTTCAGACTAGTTGGGGGGTTAGAACATGAACTGAGGCATCTCATGCACTGTATATATATATATATCTGTATCGTTGTATATCCAGCCCTTCAATTCACACACCTAGGAGCCTGACAGGATCTCACACACAAACACGTGGACCTGAAAGGTCTATTTTTTTCCCTCACAAACATAGGACCTTAAAATCTCACTAACCAGGTTCCAAGAAGCGACACCTGAACCATTAGTAGCGTCCGATCGCTCCTAGTAAGGCCAGGAGCCCCGTTCGCAGCGTCCTTTGCTCCCAGTTTGGAAGAAACCCTTCCAAGTGCTTTGTCACCTCACCTCCCAAGGTTCACCAGCCCCATCAAGGACGGGACGCTTTGACCTCGCCGAACTCGGCGCTTGGAGGGAGGCGGTTCATGTGAAGATGCCACGATTGGCAGGACCCTGTGGCCGCTGGCGAACAGCTCAAGGACTGCCACCTGGGGCTTGTGGGCCATGGATATCATGGATTTGGGGGCTCTGACTGGTTCAGTCTGAAGCCCCCGCCTCGACCCGCCGTCTCCCACCTCCTCACATACTGCACGTACCTTTTACCCTGCAGAGGTGGAAAAGGAAGAGAAGGTGCCTACGATCGACTCTGGGATCGACCCGTAGATTTACGGCAGACGGATGTAGATAGATGAGTGTTGTTCAGAGGTTTCTGGTTTTAGAGGTCTTGGGCATGCACCAATCCACCATCCACCACAGGCATGCGGCATGCCGCACCCGAAGATAGACATCTGGGAGACGGCATGCTGACTTGAGTCAATTTGGGTGTGTATTTTAATGAGGAGACATCCAACAAATGGGTGTTCGTCTATTTTCCTTCTTCCAGTCAGTCTTAGGGAGGTTTTCCTATTTTTAATACACACCCATTTTGAGGATACACATCTGATCACTTTCACAGGTCAAAAGGGAGCTTTGGGATCAATACTTTTTGTCCCTTGTGACTAGTAGCTTCTAGCTACTAGTAACAGGTGCATCGCTAGTGACAAGTGCATTACTAGTAGCAAATAGCTATGTTCGTAGCTTGAGAAGCTACTTGTTACTAGTGCCCTTGTTACTCGAAGCGATGCCGTTGTTACTTGTGTCTGGTCCCAAAAAGGTCATGGAGACGGATCAAAAAGAACCGGTTGTGCTTTTTGGATGGGGGATTTGATTCTAATGGACTAATCAACTGTATAAATATGTCGATATACATCTGTCAACAGGGTTTTGGGTGAGACATGACCGGCTTTTCTTTGCAGGCGACGGTGGGTGTGGTGGACCATGGCCTCTTCACAGGCCGTGTAGAATTGGATGACGGGCTTTGTGAGATTTTGTGACAACACATGTCCCATCCATGACTCGTTCTTGAGTGCTGACATTTATGTGTTGAACTGTACTGTTCAAGAGTATGGAGGTACTTTGAAGGATCTTGAAGACACATATTTAGCAAGTACTTCCCTTCTCCTAACCCAAAAGGCCCTCTAGCAGAATGGGCGGAATACTAGCGTGATTTTCATCTACTGTGGCATCTACATCAGATCTCCCATTCATCCAACATCTCTATTGAACACCATGTCTTTGGCTCCGAGAACGTGAACGTGGCTCCGGAGAACGGTCCCTGTGGGCGCGGGCGCCTTCTCCGTGGCGCGTCAGGCATGACCACCGCTTGCATTGTGGCTGGCTCTGATGGCATCATCGTGAAGGCACCGCGCGTCCGAGAGGATCGCCGTGAGCCGGCCGTGATGGTCCACACGATTTGGGAGCCCAACCCACGTGGTCAGCTAGGAGCTGAAGATGGTCGGCTTGATCCATCTCTTCCACATTTTTTTCTGAGGGGGATAGCCCAGGACCGGCCCAGGATGGCTGGAGTAAGAGTGACACCTCTTTGAGGCCCCAGCTGTGCGGCCTTGTTGGAATACCTACCCGAGACAAAAAGAATCCACCCTGACGAGGATCGATCCAATCGACCTTTCTTCCTTTTCTTGTCTTCTTTGTTTCTAACAGCAATGCCTTAGCAATGCCCTCTACCTCTAACCTACTAGCGAGTTGGCCTACCTATTGGCCATCCACCGAGCTCTGAAGGTCCAAGTCTTGACAACGGTTTTGAACGTCCAAGTCCGACAGTTCTGACGTCCTGAAACGAAAGGGAAGACGGACCGGACGGAGAGCCGAAGGGCGCGCTCGAGACGGGGGGTGAAATTCATCGTGGTGGAGTCCTGGGCACTGGGCACTCGGTATCGATGTGGTGGTGGTGCGAAAGCGGAAGACGACGAAAAGGGGTTGCTGCTCACGGTGAGTCTGGAACATCCGTTGAACGTGCTTTTACCAGGAGCCCCGTTCGTAGCGTCCGAACGCTCCGTTCGTAGCGATGCCCTTTGCTCCTAGTAGCTTCTTGTTGCTAGTAGTAAGAATGCTCCTAGTAGTAAGGCCAGGAGCCCCTAGTAGCTTCTTGCTCCTAGTAGCGATGCCCTTTGCTCCTAGTAGCGTCTATCTCTACTTTTTCCTTTTTCCGCGGCCAGGAGGCCTAGGCACGACTCCGCAGCTGAGATCTCGCCGGAATGGCCAGATCGGGCCGAGGGCAACACCTTCTGCCTGGAGGTGCTATTTTCTTTCGTTTTTCCGCTTAGACATTCTCTCAAAAGGCCGAGCTACAAGGAGACGTTATTTGGGAACTGAATGACTAGTGGATTGACTCTATGCTGACCCAGATGAGGAGGTTTTGCTGAGCACTATCGCACATGCACCGCGAGAGAAAAGCAGAACCTGCTGAATCAACCTCAAGTCAGTCACCAAGCATCTACACATCCAATTTAAAGCGTCAGTGATTGAAGAATCAGACGGACACATGCAAGGAACACAGAACGAACGCAACGACAGCGCTTTCTGGCATCTCAAGTTCCACCTGGGATTGAGAGGCTTGATGAAATCAAGGCGACTGAAAAAAGAAACACTCAGTGCAGGAGTGCAGTCGGCAAGGTCCTTGTGGATGGACGTAAGCGTGGGGATGAATTCCTACAGTCGAATACGGGCCAGTCGTGAAGGGGCAAGTCGATGGGGAAGTCGTGAGGTGTGGATTTCCACAGAATGCCAACGAGTTCTGTAGTTCAGGAAGCCGATAGCCAGGAACACATTCAGAACTATACATGAACTCTACTATATACATATTATATATAGGTTGATCGGCAGACACATCCGACTAACCCATACCTCACAGTGCTTCTCTGGTGCAAACCAATCCAAAAGTACAGCGCAACATGTTTCCTTGGCTAGGCTTGAGCAGAACTCTTAAGAAAATAAGGCTCTTTTTCAAACAGATCTTTTTGATCTTTAATGTTCCTCAACTCCTAATCCTAGGTTGGCCGCAAAAGGTTTCAATGGAGAGCTGGACCCGGTCGATAAACGCAAAGCGACCCATTCGATGTGATCGAATCAACTTCTACGGACGACTTGTCTACTTCTTTGGAGCGGAGCCATCATTTGACGTCCTCCAAGAAGGGCAGAGGATTCCAGCACTTGTTTAAAACACATGGGTTCCTTTTTGAGACACCCAACTTGCAACACTTCTGATCACTAAAACGAACCAAACATGCAGACTCAATGGGTTATTTTCTCCGAATCAGGCATGCGGATCCGGCTCGGGGTGGTAAACGGGACCCAACGGTGATGTCGTTCATCTACGGCCTTCCAAAACAGGTCTGCAGAAATCCTCCGTGTCGCGCTCTGAAGCGCTCTGAAGAGCCGGCCCTCCTCCTCCTCTACTCCGCCGTTCCGACAGCTCTTCGGACAGTGGGACGAGCAGACGATTCACAGTCCCAAATGGATTTTAGTAAGGCGACCCGCCAGCCCAATGGGGTTTCATTGGGTTTTAGTCTGTCTATTTTTTCCTTCTTTTTAGGGGCTCCGAACGTTTGGGAGTTTTTCTATTTGAGCTACACACGTCCCACGTCGGGAGGACCCACGTCCCACGCCACGTCCCAAGCGCCGACTTGCCGGACACCGGTTGTGATCCGTTGTGCCGTTGCACTTGTGACGTTCGTAAGGCCAGGAACCGCCCGACGTTTGTAGCCCTTCTCGCTCGGTTCAGCTACTCGGCCTCCAACCGCTTCGAACGCTCGCGTAGGAAGGAGATTGTGCGCATCTTGGGGCATTTGCCGCTGATCCGCGAGGCGACGCTCGCTCCGCGGGTGGTGTTTTCGGCGGGACTCTGCCTCGCTGGACTCGACGTGACGGACGACTGGTTTTTCTGTCAAGAGGAATGATTCAAAGCGATCTGGACATATCTGGACTGGGTTCACGTTCAAGACACAACTTGGATTCCTTTTGCTCTTTCAAAGCTGCGACACCATGCTACACCCTTGGGCCAAAAGGGAGGTGCAACATGACACCAGACTTCGATCCCAAGTCTTTCAGTCTAGAAAGCCGCCGTCCTAGTGGCCCGCATTGCTTCGACCGGGCGAGACCCCAATCTCGTCTCGTCTCGTCCTCGTCTCCTCGACCGGTCGTCACCGCCCAGTTTCGGGACCATCCCGGAGAGCGGCCGGAGCGCGGCGAGCGCCCGGGCGCCTGGCGGCTGCGATGATGGCTGGGAGTTTTCTGAGTTCGTTTCAACTCGTGCACTTGGTGCTTTGGGCGGTTTTCGATTCTTTCTGAGAAGTGTGAAGAGCTTCGGTCTCCCCAAAACTCACGGGCCTTGGCCAGACGTGCAAAGTTCTTCGTGGCGAAATGCAGCACTTGCAGTGTGAGGGATTTACGCCGAATAGCCCAAAGCAGACTCTGGCATGTTTCTGCATGTGCAGGTGCATTGAACAGAAGGGATTCCCGACCTAGCACCCAGATTCCGAAAAGGAAATGAGTGGAGAGGTTCCTGGAATTGAGATGAAATTAGTATTGTCGAGTATTTTGGGGAAAGGATTTCCGAAGGAATTCACAGAAGGAACCAGTTAATAAGAATGAACTGAAAGGCACGAACACAAAAAATAGAGCTAACGTTTCTATTTTTGCAGCCAACAAAAACGATTCAGCTTCATTTGGGTGCCAGTTATTTAGGGGCAATCAGCTGTCGGGACCACAAGGAGAAAGAATCATCAAAGAAGCAGAAGAAAAGGCAGCAAAAACAAGCAACTTCCTGCAAGCAAGCAACCATGAATAGGCAACATGATTCAATCCCAATGACGCACCAGAATGATCTGCTGCTGAAGTAAAGAACACAATAAAGACAAGCAAATGGCAACCAATCAACAATGAATAGGACCATGATGTATCACATATTTGGGGGTTGGTTTCTTCGCACGTTGGCGTTGGCGGTCGTTCCGTGGAGTTCCACCGACGGCTTGTTGTCACTTTGGAGGCTTTTGGCCCAGGCTACGTCACCGCTCCTTACGTCACCCTCAACCATTTAATTCAATAAGCCATTCGGTTTGTGCCACAACTGCGACGTTGACCATAACGGGATCTTTGATCATAGCGCTGCGAAGCTGTTTTGGACTTCCTGACCCACAGCGCACAGAATTAGCCCCTGGCTTCGCTTACGAACCTCTGAGAATCAGTCAACTGATCAGTTGGTTCCTTGTTGAACCTTCTGCAAGGAATAGACACATGCCCTCGTTTCAGCGGAGTGGGACTCGTCTTCGAGGCCGTCCCAACCACCGACCGGTCGGCCGTTTTCACGAACTCAGGTGGTGAGCCGCTGACAGCTCGGCCACGGTCTAGCTACTCCACCCGGCCTCAGTCGAGCAGACCGGCGCGCCCGCAGTCCAGCCACTCGGGTGCGTTGTTCGTTTTTGGAGGCCCCTTTTGGTGATGGGAAAGCGCTAAAGACTATAAGAATGATGACAGGTGCTTCACCCGAAAGGGCCAGAGTCTAGGATCCATCCATTGCAATTTCGGTGGTAGCAGGGCGTTTGAGCAGTCAACTGGATCTGTAGCTGCTTTGTAGCATCTGCAGTTTGGACAAAACGCTGGGTTTGTGTTTGATCTGAGTTGCCGAGTTGGGTGTCAGAGAACTTTGACTATCTTTGACTCAATTGCATTTTCGGGCACGAACCACGCAACATGTTGTTTTGTTTCGTTCGCTTTCTGCCGGGAAGTGATTGTAGCGAACGGGATGCCGGTTTGGGTCTTGTTCAGTGGTACGATTTGTTTGTGCTCTTATCACATTGCAAACTGTCCTTCGGGGTCTTTCTCAGCCCAGGTGGAGGGAGAGCACAAAAAGGCGCAATCAGCAGGGTCTGGGTGTGAGAGTGGTGTCTCTGAGCACAGGGTGCGCAGTGCTCGGAGCTGTAGGATGGTAAGGACTGCCCCCCCAATAGAACTGCCCCTTCGTCCGGACTTTGAGGTACTCGTAACAAAAGGATACCAAGCTCATCGTCCGAGTATGGTTGGCGTGAACCCTTTGCGTTGTTGACAGGCACACCGTTCCAGGGCTTCCATAGACTCACCACCCGCACATTTGTGGGGGACATTGGCGAATTGTCAACAGTTCCTGGACATGCTGCCCTCCAGAGCACCATCTTAGGAGACAAAGACACGATGTTGCGTCCCCCTTGCGTGAGTTTCTATGCCAGGTCAGGGTTGAAGGCAATCAGAAGCACCGGATCAGAGTTCGCAGCTTTTTTTTTCAAAGGATCAAGAATTCCGGTGACCAACGAGCGTCTTTTCATCAGCCAGGTCATACCCCTACAGCGGCACCACACAGTGCCCGGTACGTGCCAAGGCGCTTCGTTTGCGCCGTGTGTTTCCAGGTGAGTAAGCACTTTTGTCGATTCTTTACTAAAGTAGTCTACTGAATAAAGATAGGGTCCCCACATAAGCGAGATACCTTTTGTTGATGACACTCACGCTAAAGTCTGAACGAGAAGCTGTGACATGACCTCCTACTTCAGTAGCAAAACCGAGATTAGGCCCCCCACAGTGATAGATCGTGTATGTTAGAATTCATATCTTCTTCCTAGGAACAAAGAAGCTACGAACGGGGTTCCTGGCCTCGCTACGAACGGAGCAAAGAAGCTATTTAGAGTCATGGGGCCCAAAACAGGTGGGGCCGAAGGGGGCCGAAGGGGGCCGAAGGGTCGAACACGCCGCATGCGCTCCGTTCGTAGCGAACCTTGTTACTATAGTAGTAAGAATGCTCCTAGTGGTAAGGCCAGGAGCCCCGTTCGTAGCGTCCTTTGCTCCGTTCGTAGCGATGCCAGGAGCCCCTAGGAGCTTCTTGTTCCTAGTTCCTAGTAGTAAGAATTCCACTAGTAGCCTAGTAGCGATGCCCTTTGCTCCTACCCATCTCATCCAGGGACAACTTTTCTGCAACTTGGCTGGGCGGCTTATTGTCGCGCCATGTTTCTGGCAAGAAGGACGATCTTTGCTGCCCTGAAGAGCGAAATTCAGGGCAGTTCACGGCAGGTCGGACGTTCGGGTCGAACATGTTGCAACATGTTGGGTCACCCGGGGGGGGGGTGAGGCACGTCCAAACGTCCGCCCGCGAAGCCTCGCCAGGCCGCCGATGTCGGCTCGCAAGCAGGCTGGTTGGAAGCCGAGAACCGCACCGATGCCGTGGATTGGCGGACGGTGACCCCCCGGCTGCATCGGGGTCTGCTTTTGACTGCATATGTCAAGTATGGTGCACATGTCAAAACGTGTTTTGAGCAGGATCTTTTCAGGAAT